TGTACCTGTTGGGTGAAATATTCTGCATAAATGTCTATTAAATCCATTTAGTCTACAGCAGACATGAACAACCCATGGCCATGGGCCACAGAAAGCACTGCACAGCTAGTAATTTAGCCCAAGATCATAAACTTTAACATTATTATGTAACTCATACTGATTTTTTTTTTCATGACATAATCATATCATGGTGCTTGAGTACAGAATGTAGCGGACAACAGAATGCTGATTTGTTCTGGTAGGTAAATGAGCTACCTGTGTTTCTCAAGACCACAATGGGATGTCCTTCTGAGACAAGACTACCCATTTGATTCTTGGGGTTCCAGGGGGATGAGTAAGCCTTTCCCAGGGCCTGGACAAGCCAAGCTACTCAGGGAAAGCAGTCATGGCCACTTGCTGATTCTTGGGGCTTCTACAAGCTGAGTCACTCAGAACTGCCTTCCTGCTTCACAGGTCCCAACAGTGGGTTCACAGGGCTGCCTCACTATCTTTGGTCGAGCAGGAGTATGGTAGTGTCGCTGGACTTTTTCTCTAGAAGCCTCTGCAGGATGAGATGCTCAGGGAGGTCCACATAGGTTCTTTGTTGGGCAGTGGGAAAGTGGGCAGCACCATGTAGCTGGTTCACAGGGATAGGTCTGCTTAGTTGTTGGGGACAACTCCTTCACAGCTTTACAGGACCTCACAAGCATAAATTGTTCTTTTTAATGATTACTATCAATTTGGTGAGATTCTCATTCATAGGATTGTTCTCATTTCTTCATATTGTTTACCTGCATGATCTTGAAGCTCACTGAGCTTTCTTAGGAACATTACTTTAAATTCTTTGTCATGCATTACATATAAATCCTTCAAATTCAGATTTCTGGAGAATATTTTTCCATTGGAGGTGCATGTTTCATGCATCTTTTGTTCTTAATTGGTGTCTATGTATCTGGTGTAATGTTTCTTCCAATTTTTGATGTAGGAAAGTATTTTTCCATTTGGGTGGATGTATGATGTCAGTTGAATAGGTGCCTTGGGTTTGGTTTTATGGAAGTTCAAAAGTATAGTCTCAGTGTAGTTTCACCTCTGATTGATGTTGTCACTATGTGTATCTCAACAGTGTATACTGCAGCAGTTCATGAAGGTCGTTCTATGACTTTGCAGTGGATATAGGACTCCAAAACTTATGTAACTTCAGGCTTCACAGAACTGAGTCCTGATGGCATTGCTAGCAGCTGCTACAGTCTCAGTGGTGCAGAATTTGGACAGAATTGTTCCCAGGTTCCTCAGGGCAAGCACAGGTGGTATCAAGGTTGTGGCACCAGTAGCCACAGTTCCTGAGCTGCAGATGTGAAGCAGCCTTTCCTGAGAACTGCCAGGATGAATATCAGAAAGGCCTGGACTGGTGGTATCAGCAGCACAGTTGTGGAACCAGAGGATGGTGTAGGATCTCTCCTACAGGCTGAATGAACACAGATGACACAGAGGCCTGTGGCATTATACTGTGGACTTGTGACTTTGGAGCACAAAGGATTACTTCCTTAAGTTCCACAAAGTGTTGCAGTTAGTGCTGAGGCTTGAAGTGGTGTTACCTGCTTTCTTTCAGTTGTGGAACCAAATGCAGGTCCGATGGCACAAGTCTTTTGGCACCAGCACTATCCAAAGTCCAAAGTCTGTGGGCTCTGATGTTCCCTAGGTCTTCCTGGATATGTGCAGGTAGTTTGGGCTGATAGAGTTGTTATCCACTATGGATATATGGAGCATTAGGTAATCTTCCCTTGGTACAATGGGTTAAACAGGGACTACTGGGGTTTGTGGCTTTGGTATTTATGGTCCTGGAGCTAGTGGTGGGAAGGTACCTTGGTCATGCTGAGCAAGTTCTTGTGGGGACAAGGCTTGTTGTGTTTAAAGTTCTGGAGCAGAAAAATACATGTGGCTGCTTCCTCTGGTCTCCAGGGCCAAGCTTGAGTAAAGCTAAGGGTTGAAGCTGCAGTCCTAAGGCTGTGGTCTGGACAAGAAATCTTCCCTAGTTCTTCCTGGGTGACCTCAGGTGTCAGTGAGAATTGGGGACACTGGCAGCAGCACCCTTGGAACTGTGGAACTTGGCTGGGAGCCTTTGCAGCTCCCAGTGGATCCATGTGGGTAAAACTAGGACTTTGTAGTAGTAGCTACAGACCCGTGATTTTGGTCTTGAGTAGAGACCCTCCCTAGAGCCAGCAAGGTAATGGCAGCTGCTGGTCTAGAAGCTGCAGAATGCTGAAAGGGGTTGCCTATCTCACCACGAGGTCATATAAGCCCGAGGATTTGGCTGATGGCACTTAAAAGATGGGACTGGGCACTGACTGTGTTTAAGTGGTGTAAATTCTGGGAGATTGGGTAAATCCAAAGAGAGTTTCTTCTTTTGGAACAGAGGAGTCATTTTTAGACCAGCCAGCTCCCCAAACTGGATTTAAAGATTTTAAGTACTGTGGACCTCTGCAGTTAGAACTGCCAGTCTGCTGCAATAATTGGGTTTGCTGTTACTTTCCTGCTTTATGCTGGCTGTTTCCTGATTTCAGTTGGGGACCTAGAGTTGATACTGTGAATTGTTTTGTTACTTTCTGTAGGTTAACTTTCAAACTCTCTATGTTGTAGGTTTTGTCACTTCTTTGTTAATTTCAAGAATGTTCCACTCACTTTCCTCAGAAAAATTATTTCACTGCCTCCCGCCCCACTGTGGCAGAGTTGTGTACAAGCATCTCTATTCAGACATCTTGGCTCCCTCATTCAGTCTGGTGTTTGTTTCCTTGCCCATACTTGTTGCCTGGTCAAACTGAATTCAACAGGTGTTCTTCCCTTTATAGATTGGATACCTGGTCCCTTAAATTCCTATTGCCTTTCTTTCAGTAGTCTGTGCATTGTATTCTATCCTCTGGAAAAGTATAAATTCATGTCTTTGAATCCTTGTTCCCTCCCCTGCATTGAGTTTTAAAGGCTCTCAATACAGGTTAAATTTTCCCCACTGGAAGGTACTTTATATTTGTGGTAGTTGTGTATGAGTTATATTTCTTGACAGTCTCACTACATTTAAATATTTTTATCTCTACTCTATGGTTTATTTCTGTCCAGAATATGAATGTTTTTATTAGCTAAAATAGAGCATTTTCCTCATGATTATGTTTAATGTTGTAACCAGTTTTCCACAGCATATTTAACATTTTTTGGTTTTAATACATTAATATTTATATTACAAATAGTCTGCATAAAAATGTACATACACTTCAGCAGTTTGCCATACAAATAAATGTCTGGAAGCTAATGGGCACAACTTTGAGCCCCTTTTGTAACTGTAAAGTCTAAAGGTAACTTGTATTGACCTTGTGATGCTTCAATGAATTTAGTATTAAAATAACTGCAAGTTTTTCTTTTCCTGATGTATAAATTTTTTGGCAGACTCTGTATATCCACATAGTTAATGAATCTGCATATGGTGTATATGTATATATTGAGTTGACTTTTTTCCACACTGAAGTTATAATTTATGATACATAAAATTCTTACAAGCACTTTAAATGTAGCTACAATCAATTTTGTTCAAAAGCTATCTATTCCTAGGCCAGTTGCACACTGTATTACTAGTCGGAATACTGACCCTTTACAAAAATGTTCTCAGCTACTTTAACTATCTGCAAAATGAACTTTATAACCATTTTGTGAAATTCTCAAATATTTGATTAGAATTTTGAAAAACAGTAATATGGGGATATAAACAGGTCTACATTAGTCTTCTCAGTCAAATGTTTTTCCATTTATTCAGGATAGTTTTTGAGGAAAGTGGGTACACATATCTCAATTCATTAGGTTGTCCCAGTGGTTGACTGTGTCATTATCAAATTTTCTTTTTTCTAATTATCATTTGTTTTCCTTTTCTCATATCATTACTTCTAGAGTATTGAATAACTGTGGCATTAACAAATACCTTGTTTACACCAAACTCCTAGGGTAGCTTGTAAGATCTCTCATGATAAGGCCTTTGAGTCTTTCCCTAGCAGTACATGTACGTGAACAATCCCTCTTACTCAATGTCATCTTCCATCCAATGAACTTATGCTTCCTGATTATGTAATGCCATTCCTCTGTAGCTAGTTTTTCATTTATCATCTCTACTAACACTGCCCCTACAATCTAACTTCCACTCGCTCTTCATGCATCATCTTAGATATCTGTCTCTGATGGCACATACTAAAATTCAAATACTGGGCTGGCAATTTAGCTCAGTGGTTCCACCACCTGCCTTGCAAATGCAAGGAACAAAGTTCCATCCCCAGTTAAAAACAAAAAAAAAATTAAATACTTATGAAATAAGAAGTAGGCATACAAAAAGAGGCTGGAGAAGATGTCAATCACCTGTAAATATCCTGCAAGGAATAAAGTTTAAATGCACTCTAAAAAAGGTATTTGAAGCTACTTTATACTGAAAATAGTGAGCATAACATTTAGGAACTTTTAAAAAACCTAGGCCCACATACCTGATTGTTGAAAGAAAAGATAATTAAGCAATAACACGAGTACTTTATCTTTTGACCACCTAAAAGAAAAAAATTATATTTATTAAAAAATGAAATATGACTCAGAATACCTTTTTAAAAAGTCAGCATCCATTATAGTTAGTATCAGTAAGGGATTTGATGTTTTTGTATTGAACAATGTTTTCCTTTTGCACTCCTCCAAAAAGTTGCCTTATGTTCACATATGAATTTCCATACCAACTTCTTGCACTGGGTTTTGTAATATAGCTTGCATTCTAATGTAAAGGATAAATGAAGAAACACAATATTTGACATTTATCAACTTATCATAGAGGTCCCATCTAGTATACCTTTCCTGCTTTTGCAAAAGGTATGAACTCTGATGAGAAGCCACCAACATCGATTGGGAATTTCTCCAGCATGAATGGGGGAGAGGTAGATAAGGCATACCATTTGGCTCAAAAAACCATTTGGGATCTGAAATAGCTTATAGAAGACACAATTTGGTACACAGTATTATGATACTTTATTGAACTTATAAAATTTGGCATAAATGACAGATCTGTCTTCAGGCTATAGATGTTTCTCCAGCCTAGATCTCAAGTACTTTTTAAAAATGCAGATTTAAGGAACACATACAAATGAAGAATTCAATCTTCCACTGCAGTTGCTAACTCCAATTCTAGTCCCAAAGGGTACTGACAGGTAAAGATAATGTCAGGGGTGAAATAAATAGGAATAACTGGCAGTCACTGCCATTATTATTATTATGTCTGGTCTTTGCCATTAATTCAGAGGTTTCAGTACTTAAAAGTGTTCTCCTATATTATACTTGCCATAAGCTTGTTTTACTGTGATCTTCTCATATGGACCAACAGTTTATTAAATATCGACTCTAAACATATTTCTTGGTTGCTCATTCATCAATAAATCAGGTGAATGCAAGAAGCAATCCTATTTATGAACCAAAGAAAGGCAAGGGTAATATAATAAAATGATAGACAAAGACTTGTGTGGTGATATGCTGAAGTACAAACGCTGGTCGCTTCATTTGGGAGTCTAGAAAAGCTCAAATAGATTTCTCTCCAGTACTGTCACATTACTAAAGGAATAATCTTTCACAAATGCTTTCTTAAATTTATTATATTCATAGGATTCTAATACTCATGATGCTGAATGAGCTCTGCACCTACTGAAGGTAATCGTGTTTCTTCCTTTTCATATTTACCTTGAATATGAAGCTTTTGATGTTTAGTAAGACTTGAATGTCGGTTGAAAGTTTTCTTACAGTCTTTACATCTGAATGGTCTCTCTCCTGTATGAATCACTTGATGTCTTAGAAGGGAGGAACTGCGGTTGAAGGATTTTCCACAGTCAACACATCCATAGGGATTGTCTCCAGAATGGGGTCTTGGATTTTTATTAGTGTTTTCACTCTTACAGAAGGCCATTCCACACTCATTACCTTCAGAGGCCTTTGCCTTCGTATGAATTTTCAGATGTTTTGTAAGGTTTGTGTGCCGGTTAAAAAATCTACCACATTCACTGCATCTATAGGGCTTTTCTCCAGTGTGAATGATCTGATGTCTAAGGACGGATGAACTTCGGCTAAAGGTTTTCCCACATTGATAACATTTATAGGAATTCACTGTTACATACCTTTTGTTGGGCTGAATAATATGTGTATTAATGCTCAAGGCATTTCCACATTCATTAAATTGTGAATGTGGCTCATCCACAGAGTCTGAATTAAACTTCAAGTTAGTTTTAAACTTGTGTCCACTTGGGGACCTTATTCCTGTCGGAGTTTCTTGTTGCATATTCCAAATAGAGTTAACTGATATAAAGCTTTTCTTATTGTCAATAGATTCAGAATCTCCTTCCTTATTAGAGACTGTCATATGAATGAAAGCCTCTTGAGGCAAATTTATGTCCTGCTTTTCCTGGTTCCTATGAAACTGATTCTCACCCCTCCATTTGTGTACAGAAGTGTGTGTATTTTTGGCAGGCAATGCCATAATTACTCCATGAGATGATTCTTCTGCAGAAACCTTCTGCTTTAGAATTGAGTCTTGGTTTTCTGAAATACTGTCCATGTCTAAAAAAAAAAAGTATATAAAATTAGATAAACTAAATGACAGGAAACTGCCTAATGAGGATATAGATCTGAATCAGTCAGCAAACTTGTAAAATGCAAATATATGTGTGTGTGTGTGTATTCATATTGATATTCATGTATTAAAGGTGGATAAAGAGGGCTTACAGCATGGAATGTCAGTGTATTTGAACAAGTGGCTGCTGATTTCCAAGAGAAAGAAGCAGAAGCTGTCCGTCCATTATAAGCTAGACCAGGAACTGACAAAGTGTCACTTCTGCCTATTTCAGTGGTTAGACTGTATCACTGCTGCCTGAGACTCAAAGGGAAGGAAAACAAGGTCTACAACTTGATGGGATGAGTGACAAGGATTTTGTGGCCATCTTTTAATACACCATAATCTATGAACTTTTTAGGAAAATAAGTTATACTTACTGCGGTAAATTCTAGGTTGATCACTGTAACATATTTAAATGATGAAATTGGGATAAAATCAAGGAATGTTTTAGTTTTAGGATGGAAAGATTCTTAAATGTAAAACTGACAAGGATAAAACAATGGAGGGCCACATATGTGTTGCACTTATAGGATAACAAGTCTGAAAAATTTGTAGGGTAGACACTACATTTTTTATAGAGTATCAAATAGGCAACTGCTCAAGATATCACAATAGATGAACAAGCTATAAAATGACATATTCCTGGTGTATTTTGGGAAATATTTTGTGAATTTCCCCACAGTTTAATAAAACAATAAATCTTTAGAAATCACAAACATCATAAACACATGGCTTTAAAATTTTTTTTTAAAAAACCCAAGTTTCTGCATCTTGTGGCACATGCCTGTAATTCCAGCACTCTGGGAGGCTGAGGAAGGAGGACTGTAAATTGAAGCCCAGCCCAGGCAACTTAGCAAGATCCTGTCTCAAAATAAACAAGGGCTGGGATTGTAGCTCAATGCAAAATCCTTGTACCATGCCAAAACAAAAAGCAAAAATAAAACAAACAAAAACAACAAAAACCAAAAACCAACATATTAGTACTGTGTAGCTCTGAGGAATGAGGTAATGGGTGAATTATATTCTTTTTCATATTTTTCTATACTTAACTAAAATTTATAGTTATCTCCATTTTATACTCTCTTGCAAAGTGTTGATAAGAATAGATTATGGTGAGGATAGGGAGTTAATGCATAAGAGGTTACACAAACAAGGAAAAATGAAAATTAGTAGAAGCCACTTCAGCACACAACAATCTTGGTGTTTGTTTGTTTTTTTGGTACTGGGATCAAACCTGGGACCTTGTGCTTGCGAGGCAGGCAGCAGAACCACTGAGCTAAATCTCCAGCCCGCAGATTTGTTTTCTTTTTTGTAAAAAAAAAAGTGTTAGGGGTCCAGGGATTTAGCTCAGTGGTTCTGGCAGCTGCCTTGTAAGCACAAGGTCCCGAGTTTGATCTCAGTACTGGGGGGAAAAAAAAAGTTCAGTGTTAAATTGGCTGTTTGCTTATTTGGTACCATGGGCTAGATAATGTTCTCAGCTGTTGTATCAGCTCAGTTAGTCCTCACAGTAGGTACTTTAAAGTTACAGGTAAGGAGTTGCCCCAAGTCACAAGCTTTAAGTTAATTGTTGTGGTCTTAATCCATGACACTATTTTACCACATATGAAAAAGAACCTGTGAACAAAGGCGATGATGCCTCCTTTTATTTACCCCCAAAGTTTAGGTAGTTTTGCTGTCATCTCCCCAACAAATAATTCAAACAGTAACACCTTACAAATACTCCATATGTGCCTGGTTCTTACCAAAAATGGTTGGGATTTCTCCTTCCATTATCCGTCTTTTATTCTCATTCTCCAAGCTGGGGATCTCAACTGGTTTTGAAAGCAGGTGAATTGTTAATTGAGAAAATAAAATGATAACAGAAAACATACATATATTTTATATTACAGGGAAAAGAATTCCAGTAGGCTAAGCTGCTGAAGCATGAGGCCAAAAAGCACCAATGGACCTGTGTACTTCTGGCTCTATAACAAAAATGACTTTCAACTAGACAGAGCAGGAAGATCTGCTGTTAGAAAACCTGAATACATACCTAAATGAACATAACTTCAGCAGTCATACAACTTTCAATAGCCAATACTACTAGTAGACAGTAGATAAATACATAGATGCACCTTCATGCAATAAATTCAGGTTCCTGTAATTCTCCAGCATCACATCCCTGTGCAGGTTCTTTTCAGCAGAGTCCAGTTGCCCCCACTCTTCTTCACTGAATTCCACAACCACATCTCTGAATGTTACTGGTTCCTAAAACATTAAATTCTTTTTTAAACAAAGGTCATTCCCCAAAATATACCAGAGGTAGAATGAATTTGGAATAAATACCATAAGAGCCAGAATATGTAAGAAATTGATAGGACAATTTTTGGGTTCAAAGTGATGAAGAAGGAATTATATTAAGGGCCAGTCAACGTAGCACTTTATATACTCCGGGAGGTCTGAAAAATAAAAGGAAGTGCAGTCCTTACTTCAATCTACTTGTACTTTGAGAAGCAAAAGACAATTAAAATGACTGTGGAACAAAATATTCGTACAGAATACACAGAATTTACAGAAAAGGAATTAGGAGTTTGAAGTAGATTCAAGAGGAATTGTAATGAAAAGGCAGGCCCAGCCTGCTTTCTCCTTATCATTCCAGACCTCAGCACAATGTCACCTTATAAGACAGGCAAAACTGCCTGATTACTGGTTAATCTTTACTACATTAGGCTTCTTTCATTGGTAGTAATTATTACTATTTGCCTATACACTTCTATTAGAACGTAATTGCCACAAGAAAAGGACTGTGATTTTTTTTTTTAACTGATATTTTTAGCCTTCAGAAAAGTGTCTGGCATATTAGGCTCAAATATTTGTTAATAAGTAAATTCTCTCACCTTACATTATCAATTAATTCACTTCTCTCTCCAGCACCTTTAACCTTGTCTTTATCTGTGTTTTCAATCACACTAAAATATATAAAACTCTACCCTCCTCATCCTTCAGAGTCAGACTTTGTGAATAAATTGTCTATTTTGACTATTTCCTCAACTTCTCTTTCCACAGCCCAACGCTACCTGGCTTCTCTTCCCATGCATGTTAGTGAACAGATGCTACTTAGGTTGTATGACCTGACTTTTGGAAACATTTCTCTTCTAACTATTCTCATACTTTGGCTTCAACGACATCATATTTCCTTCTATATCTTTGCTTCTTTCTTTTCAGTATCCTTTGAAGTTTTTCTACTCCTGCTTAGTAAATAACATTGCTCAGCATTCTATTCATGGGCCCATTCACTTTTAATTCCAACATTCTATGGTAAGGCTCTACAGCTTCAATTATTGTCTATTTCTTGTGGAAGCAGATTCATAAGAGACTACAAAATATTTTCCAAAGAGTCTGTTACCAATGAAATAGGTGTAACGTCCTGTGGAAGAATAAGTGACTCATGCCCTTGGATGGAAGTCTGTTTGACATAAGTTCAAAGGCAAGTAAACGCAGGTCATATAAAAAAAGAACATACATTCCAGCCAAGAGTGGGACTGTAACTCACCTGGGGCTTGTCTGTTAGTGAGTCAGCTTCCATATGCTCTGCCTTGGTGTTCCCCTTCTGAGAGGCAGAGTCTTTGGAAGGTATTCCTGATGAGAAAAATTGTTAGGGAGACAAGTTCTGCACTGAAGCCACTTGTGATGACGGCAGTAGTGGCATTAACATGTGATTCACAGGAATCACCTATGAATCCTTAGGACTCTGTAAAAATAATGTCAGACCCTGCTAGCAATGAGAATCTGCTCATTAAGTACTGCTTTTTTCATTGTAGATTATCCCACATTGATTTCAAATTTAATATGCTATTTGATTAATTTATTATCCCCCCTATATATACACAGCATTTGCTACTTATATCCCATTCATAGAAAGAACATGAGTCTACACCAAACCTTACTCTACTTATACCTTAGAGACAGTTTAAAACTTAAACTCCTCTGTCTTACTAATGGTCTCTCATCTTTAACATCTAATATATTATAACAGCCTAACTGGTTTTCCTATTTTCAGAACCCTTAGCACCATGCTTTTCATGAGAAGTTGGTAGACTTTTCCTCTAAAGGTCCAAATAGTAAATATTTTAGATTTTGCAGGCAATACATCTCCTCTGCAACTACTCAACTCTGGTCATAGCATGAATGCACATATAGACCAAATGTAAGTAAATGGATGTGGCTGTGCTACAAAAAATTTTTATTTTTAAAATTATTTGGCCTTTGGGCCATATTTTGCTAAATCCTAACAACGTGGTATTTTTAACAGGCAAATAAAATTGTGTTACTTTTCTACTCAATCTGTGAGATTTAATTCTCTATTTTCATTATCTACAGAATAAAGTCCAGGCTTCCTACTACAGTAATAAAAAGTCCTTCGTGACCTGGCACCTGACATTCTCTAGTTTCAGAAAAAGAAAACTTGTCTTCATAGAGTCATCTGTTCTATTTCTACTTTTTTATAGTCTTACCCTTGTCTTTGAGCATTTCAATGACATCCTCTATGAAGGTCACCACATCTTTGCTACTCTTGGGATGATATAAATTTACCCAAGTCCTGACTTCTTCAGGGAGGACTGCCAGGAATTGTTCTAGCACCAACAGCTCCAAGATCTGCTCCTTTGTGTGAATTTCTGGTCTCAGCCACTGCAGACAGAGCTCCCAGAGTTGGTGCAGGGCTTCACGGGGCCCAGATACTTCCAAATACTGGAAATGTCTGAACTTCTGGCGAGATATTTCCTGCTGCCAAGACTCATCTGCTCTCAAGACGTTACTCTGTTCATACAGAGCCAGATTTTGAGGTTCTGAGACAGTCATGAACTTCTTCAGAGGCTCCATCCTCCTAAACCAAATACCACTGTAGTTCAAATCTTCTGTACTACAGGATTTTAGTACTTTTCAAGCTTGGACTAAGCATCCATTTACTATATGCAGTATGCTCTGAATCAGGTTATATCATAGTAAGGAGAAGAGTTCCAGTAGCTTCAGACATAAAACCAAGATTCAGTGTGCCGAGAGACTGAAACACAAAACAAAACAAAACAAACCTGACCAATAGATAATAAACACCTATTAGCACAGTGTTACAAGATAAAATAGTACAATGGTCCTAAAATTTCCTATGGATTTCATTTTTCTTTTTTCTTTAAATACAAGTCTAATTCAGACAAAATAAAACAAATACAATGCCACAGAAAAAGAACTATCAATGAACAAAAAGATCCCTTGAAATATGACTGGTGGAAAAAAGTCAAGAAGAGGTATAGAGTCCCAGCAAAGAAATGAACTGGACCCAGATACTAATAAGATTACTGACATTTAGAAACTTGAAGAAAGGAGCTAAAGGTGTAGGGAAGGTGTGATGCGTAGGGGAAGAACAAAAAGGGAAAAGAAAAAAATGTGAGAGAATGAAAAGATGAAAATAAAGTGTTTGTAGATGGGGAGGGGAGGAGGGGGTGAAGGGAGGGCAGAGGTAAGGGGAAAAAATGAGAATCAAGACTTGCCATGTAAAGGTACATGATCCCAACAATGAATGTAACTGTACTGTATCCCTAAAATGTACCAATAAACTCAATAAAATTAAAAAAAAAGTATGCAAATTAGTGCTTGAATACGTAAGAGGTTTTACCTGGAGGTTTTAATGTTTTACAGGGGTGATTAGGGATGATTGGGAAAGCAAGGCAAGATGGAATTAAAGGAAAACTCCATTATCTTTCACAGTTGGTATTTCCATGAGGCTCAACACCAGCCATTCCAGACCATCTCATCCATGCTGGTGTACGCGTCTGGAGCACTGGCCCGTTACCGAATGGAAGAGTGGGCAGCAGTGAAGCTCATTCCCTAGCTCAGCAGAACTGGATTCAGATTCCAGATGTGGTCCTTGCTATTACCCCTCTTTATCTCGAGCTCTGCTGTCTGTCCCTTCCCCAACCCATACTGCCCTCCCTTTCTGTTCCGTCAGCTAGCCCACCTCGATGCCAGGACAGATCCCGCGTAGGGCAGAGCTGGAAGCCGGCAACCACCAACAATCTGAAGAAAACTGTGCACTCCCCCGGGGCCTCCCTCAAGCATGATTCTCAATTCTGCGCACCCACATCCGCACTGCCCGTGACCCAGGCGATACCTGAGAACACAGATGCTATCCAGGACCCTATTGAGCCCGGTGCCAGAGTGGAAACAAACGCGGAAGAAACGCGGAAGTTGCCTTTCTGGGTGGTGCAAGAAGTAGGCGTTAACCACAACAGAACCAAAAAGCCTTGGCCCTCCCGGGCCTTTAAACTGCCCGCCCATAGCGCACTTCCGGCTAAAGAAGCGCCCAGAATTCCCCGCGGCCAGCTTCCTGCTGGGTCCTAAACCGACTGCCCCTTTCCCAAACCCCGCCTTCTTCCCAGACCCCGCCCTCTTCCCGCTGCCCTGTAGACAATCCATTCTTCAGGTAAATTGGAGAAAGGTACCGAACTTTCAGCAGTTTTTTTTTTTTTTCCCTTCTAGGAAAACTGACCCAAACCTTCCTTTCCTTGTACTCCTTCCACCCCCATTGACCTGGAACTAAAAAAATTGACATAATTTCAACGAGATAATCTTGTATATTGCGCAGTCTTCACTGATTGATCGATTCACTGATTTGTTCAATTATGCAATGAGGTAAAATATCTCTCAGATCTGAGTTCAGTTTTGGTTTGCTGGATTAGGGACACGGTGGCGTCCAGGAAACGCTGTTAGGCATTTGGATTTATTCTTCTGGAGCCTAGAGATATCTTGAGCAAGACATAAGATTTGTGTCAATTCTGGGTAGATGGTAATGCTAAGAGTGAAATGAGATTGAGGGGTCCTGGGGGGGGGACTAGAATTTGGGCAGAGGAGTACCGAGTACATTGCTTGAGACAGGAAATTTTCATAAATTTAATGTGTCTACAAAGAAAAGAGAGGAGGATCAGCCTCAAATTAGCAGCAGGAAATCTAGTAATGCGGGGACTAAAAAGGGAAGGAAAGTGTGTCATACCAGAAGGATTGCCCAGTGTTTTAATTACATGATAATATAATTAGTGCTTGAGTAGACATAGATACACAATGATGTAAGAATAGAGCAAGAGAACACAAACCACTAGGTCAGGGAGAGCTTCCTTGAAACTTTAGATCTGGGCCAGGAGTTGGCTAAGCTGAAGGAAGATGGGAAGTAGGGCTTTCTTCCAAACTACTCTGTACTCTTTACTGTCATAAATTATGTCATAAGTGTCATCTCATTTAATCATCATCATAACACTTAGGGTAGAGATTATCGTTCCCAAGTTTGATGAAACAGGTGTAAAACCAGAGTTCAGATTTCCTCATACTTGCTCCATTGCTAGTTGCTCTATGCTTCAAATTCAGATGATCTTTATTAAGATACTGAGATTTGTAGAACAATATTTTCTAAAATCAAGGTATGATGGATAACACAATTCATTTGTAGGGAATTGATTCTATAAAAGTCATATTTAACTAGTTAGACAAGAATTTTTAACTTGAAGTGTTGCCTGTTAATAGGCTCAAACATCCTACATGGCCAATTAAGAGGCAACAAAAGGAAAAGGCACAAAGAAAAGAGACTCCTCCGCCTTCCTGTCATATCTCGTCTAAGTATAAAGTTTCTGACCAGCTGTCCTCAAAAGTCCACTGAAAGCTTTTATACTGCTAATTAAATAAGGGTTATTTTCAGGTCACGGTGATCTCAATGACATGCTATTTTTTTTTTAACAGTACAATTGTATAGGGTTTCTCTCAATATATGACCATTACAATACAGTGAAGGACCGTAAAGCCATGTGGGACTGTTTCTTTAAGATGAATAAAATTGTTTGGTAAAAATTCTATTCCCTTTTATTATCATGAAATCCATTTCCTCTGGATTAGAACCAGTTCTTACATAGATAATATGCAGAGAAAACCTGACCTGACTTAAGCCAACAGTTTTTCTTTGATGACTTATTTATTAATTCAGCAAATTTTTATCAAAAACTTGACTATGTGGCAGATACTATGCTAGGCATTGGAGACACTGGTGGTGTACTAATAAATACGACCAGAAGAGGCCCGTTTTAGAAGTCAACAGAAGCATTCTCTGTGGTAAGATACTGCATTTCTTCATTCATGTTTTGTGTGCTATACAGCTTTAAGAGTATTGTATCGTATAGTTGTGAGTTGCACTGGGTCAATCTGGAATGCAGATATTAGTAAGGATGATTTGCTTTCGTAAGTCATGTGGCATGGAAGTTTGTCAACTTTTTGCTTCTGATCACCTTTTCTATGTGAGACTAGGAGGGGGTGGGAGACTGCCCCCCCCATAGGCTAAATATATCCAAAATTCACTTACAGAGGACCCTCAAGTTAGGACCCTCGAGTTATGACTGACATATGAACAATTTGGGTTACAAACAAAATTTTAGTTTTACTTACTAACAAAGTCTTGAATTGTGACCCAAATGCCAGCTGCTTGTGCTTCCAGATGGGCTCAGATACAGATTAACCCTTCAAGAGTTCTGGAAAGAACATTACAACATCCTTTCCTGTGTGGGGTAAACTGAAAAATCCTGGGCCAGCGTCTAAGGACACTGAGATCTGTCTGGATGCAGGAGAGAGACTTTGAAGGCTGTGTAGAAGAGCCTGAGACTTCAATTGACCAACTTGAGTTACAACCAGCCCTTGGGAATGAATCAAGTTTATAAGTTAAGGGTCCACCATGTTTGGTCTCTGTTCCAGGGACAGCACAATGTATTATTTGGACTCAATAAATTCGATACATTCAGAATAGACTTTAAATTAAGTACAAGCTATAACATGAAGAAAAATTTTCTTCAGTAAAACTAGAATTTAAAAAGAGAATTTGTATAAGTACAAAAATTATAAAAATAGTACAGATTTCTCATAAGCCCTACAAACTAGTTATTTGTATTATTGTCATCTTACATTTTTATGGTGTATTTGTTACAAGTAATAACTTTGATAACCTTATTACCTAAAATCCATAATACTTACACATATTTCTTTATATGTATGCTTTTGCTTTTTTGTTGTTGTTGTTTTTGTTGTTTTGAGACAGGGTCTCACTCTGTAGTTGAGAATGACCTGGAACTCACTGTGTAGCCCAGGCTGGTCTCGAACTCACAGCAATCCTCCTGCCTCAGCCTCCTGAGTGCTGGGATTACAGGCGTGCCTGTACCATGCCTGGCTCCCTATGTTTGCTTTTTAAATTTTATATCTTTTTGAATTTTTTCTGCTCTAGGATCTCTTCCAGGAATACCGCACTGCATGTTGTATCCTTTTAGGTTTTCCTCGTTTTTGATAATTTTGACAGTTTTGAGGAATTCTGGTTAGGTATTTTTCAGGCTCTATATTGGAATTTGCCTGATATTTTTCTCACATTTAGGCTGGTATTATAGGTTTTGGGGATGAAGGTCATAAGGATAGAGTGCCATTTTCATTAGATCATATTAAAGTGACGTACTATCAGCATAACTGGTCAGTACTAGTTTAACCTTGATCAGCTAGCTGAATAACAATAAAGAATTTTTTTTTTCTTACTTTCTTGAAGAGGCCGCATATGCAGCAATACCAGTTTCCAGGCTTAGCAGGGCCAGCCGCAATATCCAGTGCTAGCGGTGTGCTGTTGGCAGTGCAGATTTTGCCCTCTAGTGGTGACTGTCAGTCATTTCCTTATTAGACCAGTTCCGTTTTGTGAATTTGGCCTATGGTTCTAGCCACGGAAATGGAATTGCCATTATTTCAATATTTCTCATTTTTAGCTTAAACTTGCACCAAAAAAATCTCTGAATACTGAATAACCCATAATATTTATTATCATTTCTGGATACATATACTAATTTTTTCCATTATTAGCTTGCTGTGCCTTTATTCCATACCTCCCCTCCATAGCATGACAGGAGGTTGTTACAAGCAGGCAGGTTTTTATTGGTAGTGTGAAACCCTATTGACATATTTTTTGTGGATGAATGATTCTCTCTGTATCAGTTTTTCATTGCTGCATTAAAAAACTCTTCAAATCTAAGTGCCTAAAATAAGTCACCATTTTATTTTGCTCAGGATTCTTCAGGTTTGTAAATTGGACAGTGAAGAAAGCAGTTATAAGAAATGACAATATTTAACTGTGGGAGGGAATGGCTGAAGTAAATGACAAAGTGAAGATCAGTGAATATGAGAATTCAAAGTATTTGTTGTGTTAGTTATTTTTCTCTCATTGCTGGGACAAAATACCCGACATCCCAAGTTAAAAGGGAAGGGGTTTATTTGGCTTACAGTTCATAGCAGTTTCAGTCCATGATCAACCAACTCCAAGGCAGGGATGACAAACAGGCCTGGCAGGGCAGAAACAACGTGGTACACACAAGGCAGCAAAGGCAACAAGGGACCTTCACCAAGCCTTTCTGCCTCTTTAGTCCCTTCCAGACTACTAGGATTAGGGCAGTGCCAAACTAATCACTCATGTGTCGCGGCTTAGTAATCACACACGCTTAACCCTCGCATCACACATTCCAGATTCGACTACTTCTGAAAAAGAAAATCCCACCTCATATGCATGAAGCTTTGGGGGGGACATCTAAACACAAACCATAACATTTGGATATTACACTCAATAAGAAAATTAAAACAGCCAGGAACTACAAGAGGAACAGTAAGTATGTTGGACAGTATGTCAGTGAAGCAGGAGCCCAAGTCTTCAAAGAAAAAGAATGAATGACTCAAAAATCAAAGATAAAAAATTAAAAACCCACAATGTTACATTCTTAACCTTATTTCTTCCTTCTCTCTCATGGTGAAACTTCTCCAAATTAGGGTCCACACTTTCTGTTTCTAGTTTCTTACTCTTCATTCCTTCACTGAAATAGATCTAACACAGGTGGCAGCTAGCAGCCAGAGTCACCAGCTGAACTAATTAATTATCTGTTCTCATCTCTGTCACCTCAACTGGTATGTGACGGGTTTTCACTTATAATTGTATTCCAGACTGGATTTGGCTATTGTGCTACAGTTACAGTAATTTTAAAAGGATAACAACAAATTTTAAAAATGTACACTAATAAAACTCATTATGTGTCCATCATTTACCCAGAGTTGGATAAGATACAATGAAATAAGAGTGCAATAACTGGTTTTAAAATGGATGCATGGATTCAAGAAAGAAGACATAAGTCCAGGTTCTAGATTGCTCTTCACTGAAGAGAGCCAGTTTTACTGCAGAGCCATCTGAGGTCTGTGGTTCCTGTGACCCATTTATAGTGACTATAGAATAATTACCATGAGATGCCTCTAAATCTGTGATTTTAGAAACTTCTCAAAACCTATGGCTGAGTCTGGATAAAAGGAAGTGATTCTCAGGCAGTTCACTTGAACTAGGGTCTATGAGAACCAAAGTGAACTCTGAAATTGGCCATGCTAAAGGTGGTAAGCCATCATGAGCCTATAAAAGAGGTCGGCCTAGAATTAGGAAATTCCAATTTTTAAAATTCTAATTTCTCTCCTATTTCGAAATAAATATTTATTAGATGAGTTGGGCTCATTGAGAGGAAGACAGCCAAGATGAGTACAGAGTATGAAAGCATACTAGATAAAGGGATTAGAACGCAAACAAGTGCATGGATGGCAGTGAGAACTGAATTCGAACAAATACATTGATTTCAGTGAGTTGTGGTAAAGAAGAATAGTGGAAATTATCTTAGGTGTAATGTTAGGGACTTGACACTGCCATCACAGGCTGCATTTTCCTGGTGCTTCTTGGCTCTTAAAAGAACCTCATGCTCTTTTCTTTTGTTTCCCTCCCCGCAAGGCCACAGCTGTCCCGAGACGTTAGACCTGTGACCGAACCCATAAGGGGCAACCTGGCCTGTGATAGGTTAAAGGCAGCCCACCCCTCATAAATAATCAATAGCCCAGCCCAAAATGATAAAGGGATCTTTCTTTCTTTGTTCTTCTCTCTTCCCTCTTTCCTCTCTCCCTAATAAAATCTCCTGTTGGACCTCTCGGTGTGTGGCCCAGTTATTGAGCATTGCTGTGCCTCTACAAGTAACACTTGGGAAACTCAGTTGAAGATACAGGAAAATTGATTTTGATTTAATATAAGGAAGGTCTAACAGTGAAATCTGTCTTCATATATGAAGGAATGATCAAAGAACATTATATCATTCCTGGTTATGCCAATCCTGGAAATTTACCCAATAGTGCTATTATCAAGTAGTCTAAGCCTCATACTGTGCTTGAATTAAATGACCGTGGAACTCCCTTTAACTTTTATAGCTTATATGCTATTTGAGGTGATCATTTATATTCACTTTCTGGAGCTTTCAGAAGAGAATATAATGAACTAGGAAGTGTTATAGCCCCTGTAACCTTTCTCAAATTGATATCCTCTGGGCCTGAAATCCCAGTATTAAAATCTCTTCTAGATATTTTGATTCTTTTAACCAAGGTTTTACTAAGGTATACATGACCAGGACATCCAAAGTTGAAATGTCTTTGATATAAAAATAATGTATGATGGGGCCGGGGATTTAGCTCAGTGGTGCTGCCACCTGCCACACAAGCACAAGGTCCTGGGTTCGACATCCAGTACCAAAAAAAGAAAAAAGAAAAAGAAAAAAATCATTCATGAAACTCATATTAAGTATTATTTCAGGATACTCTGGCTTAATTCTCATAGATTCAATTGTGTTCACACTTAAAATATGCCCATGTGGCACCCACCAAACTCCCTGCAGCCGCTTCAAGGCAGCCTTCTGTCTTCTGCTTCTTTCCTCCTTACAAATAAAGTGTTTTCCCTTAAAAAAGTACCATGAAGCTGAATTAGCTATACATTCCTCAAAATAGCATCTGGTGCTTTTCATAATCAGAAAATACCTTTCATCTTTGTATTTCTTCTCCATGTTCCAGTTTTTGAGTGGATGGTTCAGTTTCTAGAATAAGTCCTTCATTTTGATGCTTCTTCCTGAAATAGTCTAATGCATAGATGCCCATCATAATCCTACTACGACAGCTTTAAAGGTCAGACCCATAGGATCACTGCCTCTAAGAGGATTTCCTTCCATATAGTTTCATGAGAGCTCCTTTGACATCTTTATTTCTCAGGCTGTAAATTACGGGGTTCAACATTGGAGTCACCACTGTATAGAAAACAGATATCATCTTATCTCGCTCTTTTGTGGTCTTGGAGTTTGGCCTCATGTAGGTAAATATTCCAGACCCATAGAAGAGAATAACAACGATGAGATGAGAGCCACAGGTGGAGAAAGCTTTGAGTCTCCCCTCCCCAGACTGCATCTGGATCACAGTAGAGATAATATTCCAGTAAGAGACCAGGATAAGGGAGACAGGAGCCAGGAGGATTACCACACCCATGGCAAAGATGGCCATTTGTGTATTATAAATATCTGCTGAAGCCAGCTTCAAAAGGGCGGGAGGTTCACAAAAGTAGTGGTTGATTACGTTCTGTCCACTGTAAGGAAGACGGAAAGTAAAGGTGGTATCCACCAGAGACACTAGGGCCCCACTGGCCCAGGACCCTATGGTCAACTGGAGACACACCTGTTGAGTCATGATGGTGGAGTAGTGCAGTGGCTTGCAGACAGCCACATACCTGTCATAGGACATCACTGCCAGCAGTGCACACTCTGTACACCCAACCAGAAGGAAGACAGTTATCTGTGTCATACACCCCCAGAAAGAAATGCTTTTCTTCTTTGCCAGGAAGTGGGTCAACACTTGAGGGACAATGCTAGTAGAAAAACAGAGATCTGCAAAAGAGAGGTTTCTAAGAAAAAAATACATGGGTGTGTGAAGCCGAGAATCCATGAAGATGAGAATGATGATGAGTAGGTTTCCAAACACTGTCAGCAGATAAATGATGAAGAAAAGAATAAATAACAGTATCTGGGTCTGAAAGTCTTGTGAAAGGCCCAGGAAGATAAACTCATCTACTGAGGTTTGATTTTCTTTTCCCATTGAGATTTATTGCCATTTACCTGTTTGGCACAAACAAAACAATAAGGTAGTGTTGGGCTTATGACATCAAGACTTGCAGAAAGGATTCATGTTAAAATTGACACCTAATTGGATATTTCTACCTTTTTTTCTATTGTTTGTTCTGAAAATAAATAGATATTTTTATTCTTATTAGTTGGTTGTAATTTAAGTCATTGTCATGTTTTCCTTAATTTCTTTTCTCAGTGCCATATAAGATGGCTCATGTAAGGCAATAAAATTTTGGATCCAACCAAAGTCAAGAAACTTTTCTGAAAATCCCTGGCACAGAGTTGATACCTCAGAAAGGACAGGTCATAAGAGAAAAGTGTGATGAGTTAAGAATGTATATTGTAACTCCAAGAATAAGTAAGAAAGCATTAAATATGTTATAATTAAAATCAAATAAAAATAGAAAATGGAAAATAAAAAATAAGAAGGCACAAAAGAAGAATAAAAGAACACAGATGCATTTGAGAAATGGAAAATAAGACTGTAACTGAAGCCTTACTGGGTTTATAAGTACATGAAAAGTAAACGGACTAAATATTCTAATTAAAAGGCAAAGATCATCAGTTGACAAAAAGGAAAATCTAATAATATTTTGTCTACAAGAGATACATTTTAAATAAAAAATATAGTTGAGTAAAAGCAAAAGATGAAAATTGTATACTAGGTAAACACTTGGTAAGAAAACCATAATGACCTTACCTATGTCAGACAGGAAATTCCAATTACAGAGTGTAATGAGGTATTTCAGACTGATAAAAGTGGCATTCATCACAAAGAAAAACACTGCACAAAATGAAAGCTCCAAAATATATCAAAAACAAAAAACAAAACAAAAAAACCCTGATAGAATTAGAAGGATAACTAGAAAGATTCAAATATATAAACATTTGAATGCTCCTGATAAATGAGTAGAAGATCTTGAGGATATAGAAGATTTGAACAACACTACCAATAAACTTGACTAAAGGATACTTGTAGAACATTCTACTCAATAATTGCAAAGTATTCTTTTCAAATGCAAAAGAAATGTTCACCAAAGATAACTAACATGCCAGTCAATAAATTAGTACCAATTACACAGGATTGAAACCATGTAGAACATACTTTTTGACCACAATAGAATTAAATTATAAATCAATAACAAAAATACAGAAAACCTGCCAGTGTTTGGAAATACTTATAATTCATGAATAAAAATGGAAATCAAGTGAAATTGTAAATATTTTAAACTGAGTGATAATGAAAATACCAATATATTAACAAATTGAAAATTATTTTAAATTTTTTTGGTGGTGCTGGGTAATGAAACCAAGTTCTTCAAACTGAATCTTTGATTTTTATTGGTACACAGATATAGATTGGATCCTGGTTCTTCAAATTCCTAGATCTGTGGCCCTGAACAAATTATTTAACTTTTTTTGTCTCAGTTTCCTAAGTTGTAGAATGAATATTATAAAGCAAAAGTATAATATGCCTTATTCCTGGTAACTACATTAAAGAAATAACTGCAGTGATGATGTTGATATGATAACCTTAAGCAACAGCTTAAGTTGGTCTGTACTTTCTATAGCAAGATGTCTGACATACTGTTGAGTTGAAAAAGTAGGTTGAAAAATGAAACATAACAATTTATTTATTTATTTTTTCTTGGTACTGGGGATCAAACTCAGGTCCTTGCACTTGCAAGGTAGTTGGCAGAACCACTGAGCTAAATCCCTGGCCCTCAGACTTTGTTTTTTAACCTTACTGACATATCAGATTATTCTCTATATCTGCGGTTTGTCAGCTTCATTAATTTTCATGGTCTTCTAGCTGATAAACTACTGTGTCAAACAGACTTCTTCTTAAATTAGTCGATTAATTTTTTTAGACAAAAGAAGTACTTTTTTTTTTTGAGATACTGGGGATTGAACCTAAGGCCTCTACAGTGAACTACATCTCTAGCTCTTTAAAAGAGAGAAAAAAAATTTCTTTTCGGTACCAGGGATCAAACTCAAGTTGTTGCACTTGCAAGGCAGATGACAGAACCACTGAGCTAAATCCCCAGCCCTTGAAGGATGAAATATGTGTGTGTGTGTGTGTGTGTGTGTGTGTGTGTGTGTTTGTGTGTGTGTACAGAAATAGATGTTTTGATATTATCTGTATGAAGTGTAGGTGTGTGTATCTGTGTGAAAAGATTATTCCGTATTATCCATATGAAATATGATGTGTGTGTGTGTGTGTGTGTGTGTACAGAGATAGATGACTCAATATTATTCTATCTACACTGATGAACTCTTAAAACATAATGGACATTTGGAATTCAGATAGGGCCCATGTAGTATATACAGTTATCCCCCTTATCCATAGTGAAGATGTTCCAAGACTCCCAGTGCAGGCATGAAATCAGGAATAATACTGAATTCTGTATGTACCATGTTTTTTTCTATATGTACATACCTATGTACCTATAATAAATATTGTTAATCAGGCACTGTAAGAGATTAATAATAGTAACATAAAGCAATTATAAAATATGCTGTAATAAAAGCCATATAAATGTGATTTCTCTCTCTTGAAAGTGCCCAGACAAATATTACTATTTTAGGACTGCAGTTTATCGTGGATAACTAAAATCATGGATAGCAAAACTATGGATAAGTAAGAACTACTATATAAAGAATGAAGGATTTGTGCATTTAGTGCAATACATACATATATGGATTGTGGAAGAATATAGTTTAATATCAAAACAGAAAAGGAGAGTAATAAGGTAAGGGAGTTAAATCTGATGAAATGTAGGATTTCAAGTGATACTACAATTATATCAGGAACAATTTCTCTTTCACACTCTGACGATTTCATATAACCTTGTCAACTTTCCTAATTAATTCAACAGTGATATTTTTTGTCTAATATGGAGAGAAAGCAAGGAAGAAAAAAATAAGAATGTGAAAAATAAAATAAAGAGAATAGAAGTTAGAAGAAAGCAGGGAAGGGAAGCTGAATATAGTTGCTAGAAATCCAGATGCATAAAGAGAAAGCAGAAAGAAGAAAATTCAGGAAGATATCTGTAAATCTGGGTATTCCCTTCCATGGAAAAACACAGGTAATATATCTTTTCTCTCCCTGAAGCCCAAATAGCTTTGTAACATTAGGGCCTTTCCAGATACCCTTTTTTAAATGAGTCTTTTTTCACACAGGCTCACAGCTCCATACATTGGGATTCTCCCTTGTCATACACACAAAGCACAGATTATATGTACTTACTCTCAGCTTCACCAAATTCATCTCACACAAAATGCAAGGTAAAGTTATGCAAGTATTTCATATTCTTTTATATGGTATCCAGATGGCCACCAAATTTTTCAGAGAAATTAGGTACTGAGCTAACTAGATACTGTCCGAGGCTCAGTCAAGTGAGAACCCATCATGACAGACTTGTATGAGAATATTATCATAGATTTAAGTATGTGATTGCATCTGTAGTGGGTCTGGTATCCTCCTCTGCACTCAGAGGATAGTCTTGATTGTAGCTAATGTCTTCTTTATGACGCTGGGCCAGTAGCTACAGGATGCATTCCTTCACATTGATTATAACTGGACCTACTCTCTTCTATGTGCCCACACTCACCAGTGGATGGGTCATGATCCCTTTGCATCTCTATGCCCGGAACATACGCAAGAGGAAGAATCTCTTGATGGGACTTCTTGAAGCAGTAATGTAAAGAGATAGTGGGACAAGGCTAAGTTGAGGGAAACAATGGAGACTAAAAGTCTGGCAGAAGGGAGGGGAGAATCAGGCAAGCTGCTTCCAACTGCAAAAGGAAAGTAACGTTGGCGCTCACAGCCTTTGTGATCTCTCTGGAATTAGCCTCATTCCTGAAGAAGGTCTAGAGTTGAATTTTTGTTTGGGATTCTAGAGAAGGGTGGGAATAGAATAGTTATCTGGAAGTATAGAAAGGAAACAAAAAAGATGTGTAGGAGGCCAAAGCCATGCTCACCCCATCCTCGACCAGTGTCACAAAATCCTACAGACTGAGGCTTTTCTCTCACCTCAGGTGGACGGAAAGCAGAAACAGTGCTGTAGGGGTCATCAGAGAAGGAACCAAGGATCTAATATGAGGGAGAGTTTTCTGTTATCCATATATTATTCCCGAAGGACAGTACCACTTGTAGACTGACTCCTGGGCAATTCTTTCTAAGGTCTGTGTGTTTGATCTCATTTCAAAACTTTCTGCTTTCTGTGACTCAATGTAAAAACTCCAATTCTCCTAGGTCCCACTTCTGAACAGAGTAGTTTCCTTTGAGGACATATTTAAAGGTAAGATCCTGAGGGTTAAACAAGGCATTCCCTGGAGCTTTTAAGAACCCTCAACTTTATTACTTTTCCATCCTCTGAGAAATCCGGGGCACACTCTATGTTATATTTGAAATTACACACTAAAATTGTCAAATCATACCTCTCTTTCATATCTTACACAATGTTTAAAATGGCATCAGCAGGTATATGCTTGGGCCTTCATAAGCGATTACATTTTTGTTTTTGATTTAAGTAGAAATGAAAATGAGCAGACATTGGATACCTGGGTGTTGACTTTCCAATGAAGTAATGCAATTTGTACGTTTATTTTAGTTTAAATGATTGTTTTGGTACCATGTGACCACCTTACATAGTGGGGTTTAATTTGGTAAGCAGTGTCCTATTATCAACATGACTGTGTTGCTATATTAAACTTTTATACTTCTACTGGACATAAAGTCAAAATTTTTCTTTTGTGAAGATAATACACAGTTTAAGGACAGTGTTTTAGAATGGGACTTTAAACCATTAAATTAAGACCTTTGTGTGGCTTCAAGAAAATTGCACTATTTCTATAATTCTGTCATGCTAATGAAAAATTCAAAAGAAAGTGAGTTCTTTAATCTAAGTGATATAGCCATATCATGAAAACACTAAAAAAAATTTTTTTTAATGGCGGAAGAATGGAGTTATAAGATGGTAAATCATATGAGAT